GAAGTGGGGGGAACAGAGGGTAGGTAATTATTTGCAGTTGAGGTGGGGGGCATTTAAGTGAAAATTGTTTTTTTTCCCGTATGGGGAAAAACTTGGGGTTCCCCTTTATGAACTATTCATTTGAACCAAAAGTCAAAGGGACACACCAATCCTGAAACCCCAAAACTAGGTGGGCCCTTGGGGGGCCATTTCATTGCTTCCAAAACCCCAATGTTTTCCTACTTTTCCCGCAACCCAATATAAAAATTGGGGGAAAAAGGACAAATATTCAATTTGTGAAAAAAGGGGCCGGCCCCCAACAACCAAGCAACATTCAAAGTCACTTAAATCCCCTTTTTTCCCCCTTTCTGTGAGCTTGGTTTGAACTTAGCCAAATTGTCACAACCACGAAAAAATGCCTAAAAAAGCATTTTATTATCACTTCACTCTGTCTGTTTGGAAAGAAATTAAAAAAAGTTTACCATGCTTTGAAACAGGGGACCCCAAAAAAAAGTTGGTGGTGATGTATACATACCCAAGAAATGAAACCCCCAAACATTTATGGGGAAAAGGGACAGGGGGGCTGTTTAAAAACAGGCAGTGAGCCATTGGGTTTTACTGTCCCCTGAACCCCTTTTTCCCCCAAAATCATTGGTGAGTGTATACGGTTTTGGGGGGGAATACAAGGACCCTGTACACAAAAGTAGCCAAAATGACCCAAAAGCGTCATACTGTTGGCCCCGTGGTGTATTTAGGCTTTGGCTGCCTAGGCAACCAAAAAATTGGGTGCCCCCCCCGGGGCCCCCCCATTTTTAAAAAAAGGGGGCCCCTTGAACCCTTTTTTTAAAAACCAAAAAGCCCCCCCCCCCCTTTTCCCCCCCCCCCCCCACCCCGAAGCCCCCCCCTTCCCCCCCCCCACCCCCCCCCCCTGCCCCCCCCCCCCCCCATACCCCCCCCCGCCCCCCAACCCATACCCCCATTTGGGGAAAAGAGAGAAAAAAAAACCCCCCCCCTCCCCTCGCCCCCCCTCCCCCCGGGCAAAACCCCAGGGAAAGAAAGCCAGGCGGCTACACCCCTCATAACCCCCCGCAAACTCTCGGAAAACCCCCCAGGTTTTCCCCTGCCGGGGGTGTTCCTTTCCTTATCCCTTCTTCCCAAGGGGGGTTTCTTTCGCCCCCCCCCCCCCCCCCCGAAAAATTTTCCCCCCCCTGGCAAATGCTTTGAAAATCCCACCCCGGGTTTTGGCCCCTGGAAAAAATGCATGCAAACCCCAAACAAAAAAAGGTTTTCAGCCCCCCCCCCCCACCCCCCCCCCCCCCCCCCCCCCCTCCCCCCGGAACCCCCCCCCAACAACGGTGAAGGAAACCCCACCAAAGGGTTTTTTTCACCAATGGCTGCCCGGGTTTCCCCCACAGTTTAGTATTTTACTGGGGGCCACAAATTCTATTCTGTAGGGTCCTTTTGGTTGACTATGGTCCCACCATTGGGATGGAAAACCAACTCCGCTGAAGAAAAATCATCACCTGCGTCACTACCTCCGCTCCTGCCCAGCCCTGCCCTCCAGGGCACTGTGGCTGAAAGGCTCTGCTCTTCCCACCTTCCACTAGCTTCCTTGCTCCAAAATACTTTTTATTTATCGATGTGGATCTCACATTTTTATAGTTTTGTCCATGTGAAACCAGGAAAGTGTTGGCGGCTCCATAGTTAAATTGAAAAGCAAAATTGCCCTGTGTTCAGTGTAAAAGGATTGAAGGCAGGGAAGCACCCCAGCTGGGGTTGAGAAGAGCAGAGCCTTTCAGCAACAGTGCCCTGGAGGGACAGGTACGGTTTGGACAGGACGCGAGAAGTGGACAAGGGAAGATGATGTTTCAGTCCCAGGATGGGTTGGTTTTCAACCAATGGTAGACAAAGTCAACACAAAAGGACTCTATACTACTAGAATTTTTTTTTGGATATTATAGGGGTTGGTGCAACCAGTCAACTACTAAAACTTTTTGGGAATCAGCAGCCATTCTCAATTATGGAGCAGGAGCAGAAGAGTGACACAGGATGATGATTTCAGTGAAGTTCAGAGGGATCTGCTGAGCGGGGCTGTTCCTACACCGTCATGAACCCACAGCATCTCTTGGAACCCATCAGGTTCCCATGCCGCGCGTGTGTCCCTTCTTCCGTCCCTTCTTCCAAGGGGCAGTGCTGCCCCCCCCCCCCCCTGTAAAAATTGCCTCCCTAGGCAAATGCCTTGTTTGCCTTGTGGTAAATACCACCCCTGGTTGGCCCTGAAACTATGCATGCAACCTCAAACAGGAGGTTCAGCCGCAGCCGCAGCTCAAGGAACGCCCCCCAACAACCGGTGAAGGAACCCTACCGAAGGTTCCACAGAACCATAGTTGAGAATGGCTGCTGGATTCCCCTAAAGTTTTAGTAGTTGACTGGTGGCGCCCACAAATTCTATTAGTGTAGGGTCCTTTTGTTGACTTTGTCCACCATTGGGATGGAAACCCACCATGGTCCTGCTCCAAAAGACTTTCTTTTTTTTTTTTATCGATGTGGATCTCACATTTTTATAGTTTTTCCATTTGAAACCAGGAAATGTTGGCGGCTCCAAGTTAATTGAAAGCACAATTGCCCTGTGTTCAGTGTAAGGGGGAGTGAAGGCAGGGGAAGCCCCCCAGCTTGGGGCTGAGAAGAGCAGAGCCTTTCAGCACCAGTGCCCTGGAGGGCAGACGGTTGGGCAGGAGGGAGAGTGACCAAAGGAGATGATTTCAGCGGAGTTCAGAGGGATCTGCTTGAGCTTCACACCGAGCACTGCACGGGACGGGTGCGCGGAGGGGGGCACTGCTACACGGGACCGGTTGCGCGGAGGGGGCACTGCCCGGGGACCCGCTGCGCGGAGGGGGGCACTGCACAGGACCGGTGCGCTGAGGGGGGGGCACTGCACGGGACCGGTGCGCGGAGGGGGGCATCTGCACGGGACCGGTGCGCGCGGAGGGGGACACTGCCCGGGGACCGGTTGCGCGGACGGGGAAATCTCTGAGCATTCCCGGAGGATGCTGAGCGCAGAGCGGAGCGGGTGACCCTGAGGAAAATCTGGGCGGTTCGCCCTCCTCCCCCTCCCTCCATCCCTTTCCGTGCGGTGTGTGTGCTGGAGGCGGCGGCTCTGCCGTCTATGTGACCCGGACGCCCGATGTTCGCTGACCTTCGCACCCGGATCGGGGAGAGGGAGCCCGCGGGCGAGGGGACTACAGCCCGGAGCGGGGCACCATGGACGGTGGGTGTCAGATGGGGGGGGGGGGGGGGCACTGCGTGTCTGTAATGCCTGCTGCACCTGCTGCATGGGTGTCATTGCCCGACAGAGGGGTCACTGCATGCTGCTTGTCTATGTGATGGGGTGACTGTGTGCTTGTGTATAAATGATGGGGGGGGGGTCACCACATAGTACATGTATATATTGGGGGTGACTACATGTTGCCTGTCTACAGATAATGGAGGTCACTTTATCAAATATAGATGGGGGGGGGGGGGGGGGCTCACAACATGTTGCCTGTCTGTAGTAGAGAATGGGGGTCACTATGTTCTTCCTATCTATAGATGATGGGGTCAGTATGTCCTGTCTATAGAGGATGGGGGTGGTCAGTATGTCCTGTCTATGGATGATAGGGGTCACCACATGCTGTCTGTAGATGATGGGGGTCACTACGTGATGTCTATAGATTATGGGGGTCAGTATGTCCTATCTATAGAGGATGGGGGTCAGTATGTCCTGTCTATAGAGGATGGGGGTCAGTATGTCCTGTCTATAGAGGATGGGGGGTCACAACATGCTGTCTGTAGATGATGAGGGTCACCACATGCTGTCTGTAGATGATAGGGGTCACAACATGCTGTCTGTAGATGATGGGGGTCACCACATGCTGTCTATAGATGATGGGGGTCACCACATGCTGTCTATAGATGATGGGGGGGTCAGCAAATGCTGTGTATAGGTGATGGGAGGCAGTACATCCTGTCTGCAGAGGATGGGGGTCACCACATGCTGTCTGCAGAGGATGGGGGTCACCACATGCTGTCTGCAGAGGATGATAGGGTCACCACATGCTGTCTGCAGAGGATGGGGGGGTCACCACATGCTGTCTGCAGAGGATGGGGGTCACCACATGCTGTCTGCAGAGGATGGGGGTCACCACATGCTGTCTGTAGAGGATGGGGGTTACCACATGCTGTCTGCAGAGGATGGGGGTCACCACTGCTGTCTGTAGAGGTTGCGGGTCACCACATGCTGTCTGTAGATGATGGGGGTCACTAACATGCTGTCTGTAGATGATGAGGGTCACTACATGCTGTGTATTAGATGATGGGGGTCACACACGTCCTAGCTATAGATGATAGGGGTCACCACATCCTGTCTATAGATAATGGGGGGTCCTTATGTGCTGTCCCATAGATGATGGGGGTCACTACATCCTGTCTATAGATGGATGGGGTCACTATGTCCTGTCTATAGATGATGGGGGTCACTACATTCATGTCTATAGATGATTGGGGTCACCATGTGCTGTCTATATATGATGGGGGTCACTATGTCCTGTCTATAAATGATGGGGGTCATTACATGCTGTCTACAGAATGATGGGGGTCACTACCTCCTGTCTATAGTTGATGGGGGTCACTACCTCCTGTCTATAGATGATGGGGGGCCACTACGCCCTATGTCTGTAGATGATGGGGGTCACTACCTCCTGTCCTATAGTTGATGGGGGGTCACTACCTCCTGTCTGTAGATGATGGGGTTTTCAGTACGCTCTGTCTATACATGATGGGGGGGGCCACTACGCTCTGTCTATACATGATGGGGGCCACTATTGCCCTGTCTATACGTGATGAGGGGGGTTAACTATGTCCTGTCTATAGATGATGGGGGTTCACTACCTCCTATCTATAGATGATGGGGTTCACTACCTCCTGTCCATAGATGATGGGGGTCACCACATGCTGTCTGCAGAGGATGGGGGTCACCACATGCTGTCTGCAGAGGATGGGGGTCACCACATGCTGTCTGCAGAGGATGGGGGTCACCACATGCTGTCTGTAGAGGATGGGGGTTACCACATGCTGTCTGCAGAGGATGGGGGTCACCACATGCTGTCTGCAGAGGATGGAGGTCACCACATGCTGTCTGTAGAGGTTTGCGGGTCACCCACATGCTGTCTGTAGATGATGGGGGTCACTACATGCTGTCTGTAGATGATGAGGGTCACTACATGCTGTGTATAGATGATGGGGGTCACTACGTCCTAGCTATAGATGATAGGGGTCACCACATCCTGTCTATAGATAAATGGGGGTCCTTATGTGCTGTCCATAGATGATGGGGGTCACTACATCCTGTCTATAGATGATTGGGGTCACTATGTCCTGTCTATAGATGATGGGGGTCACTACATCATGTCCTATAGATGATTGGGGTCACCATGTGCTGTCTATAGATGATGGGGGTCACTATGTCCTGTCTATAAATGATGGGGGTCATTACATGCTGTCTACAGATGATGGGGTCACTACCTCCTGTCTATAGTTGATGGGGGTCACTACCTCCTGTCTATAGATGATGGGTAGGGCCACTACGCCCTGTCTGTAGATGATGGGGGTCACTACCTCCTGTCTATATGATGGGGGTCACTACCTCCTGTCTGTAGATGATGGGGTTCAGTACGCTCTGTCTATACATGATGGGGGCCACTACGCTCTGTCTATACATGATGGGGGCCACTATGTCCTGTCTATACGTAATGAGGTTAACTATGTCCTGTCTATAGATGATGGGGTTCACTACCTCCTATCTATAGATGATGGGGTTCACTACCTCCTGTCCATAGATGATGGGGGTCATTACATGCTGTCTATAGATGATGGGGTTCACTACCTCCTGTCTGTAGATGATGGGGGTCACCATATGCTTCCTGTGTATAAAAGATAGGGGTTACTCTAAGCTATCTATGTACAGATGATGGGGGTGTCTATGTACAGACGTCACTACATGCAGCTTGTACACATGATGGGAGGTCACAGCATGATTCCAGTATGCTCACAACTCATGTATGCTAAGGGTCACTACATGCTTCATGTGTATGTCAGGGGGTCACTACGTTGTACATGTATAGATTGGTGTCAATACATATGTGTGATGGGGGCATTGCATGTTTAAGATATGGGGAACCTTATGAAGCATGTGTAATATAGGGGACCCTCTATGCTACTACATATGTATGATAAGTGATACCACATGCTACATGTGTGTGATAGGGCCCTTTCATAATACATGTAATGAAACAGACACGTGTAACATGTATGTGATCAGGGAATTTTTTCAATGCATGTAATATACATTTCATGTATAGTAATACATATAAAAGTGTAGGAAGCATAAAGTTTTGGCTTGATCTGTATTACTGATGCATGGGTATTCTAAACATAGATGCACTTTGACATACATGTCACATTGAATCTTACAGGTGTATTGTTCATACATTTATATTACCAAGGCATACTTAGGTATATTTGATGCCTCCATGTAATGCATTGCTATCTGTATTTGTGGTGGCAGCTATATGTGTGTTGTAAAACAGAGTACAAGAATTTACAGGGCAGAGAGAAGTTTACGTGACAAGGGAGTCCTCTGCACAGAGGTCACAGTACCCACGCAGACGACATTGACAGCATTCTGTGCCTCATAGAATGACAATGAATACAGAGCATTATATATATAATAATATAGGTATCTGTAGGGGTTTTTCTGCCAAGTGTAACAATTGTGTCAACTGACAGCATTCAGAATTCACCCTAAAACAGGCAACAAAGAAAAAAAATAAAACTTGATGTAGGTTTCAACACTTTCCACCATTTTCTCTTTTTTCTGATCTCATCTATCTATCTATCTATCTATCTATCTATCTATCTATCTATCTATCTATCTATCTATCTATCTCTCTATCTATCTATCTATCCCTCCCTATCTATATCTATCTATCTATCTATCTATCTATCTATCTATCTATCTATCCCTCCCATATCTATCTATCTATCTATCTATCTATATCTATCTATCTATCTATCTATCTATCTATCTATCTATCCCTCCCATATCTATCTGTCTGTCTGTCTGTCTGTATATCTATCTATCTATCTATCTATCTATCTATCGATCTATCGATCTATCGATCTATCTATCGATCGATCTATCTATCTATCCCTCCCATATCTATCTATCTAATCTATCTATCTATCTATCTATCTATGACTTGAATGTCCTTTAAAACGACTTCCAACATTTTGTTTGCTATTAAAAAGAGAAGTAAAGTCACTCCTGCACTCCTGTGACCTGTTTCCAGCTGACAAAAGTGCATGTCTGGGCAAGTTGTCAGATAATCAGAGCACCTGCCAATCCTCTCTTCAGCTAACATCTACACCAATTGCTTTATCTAAAGCTGAAAAAAGTCACCCAAACAGTGACTGCATCCAAATCTGTTGCAGTCACTGTTTGGGTATTCTGACAGCTGCGAATTCCAGGTGTCAAAATACAATAGACGACAGCAGGAGAGTCCACCATTCATACTGTCGGGCATGTATGGGGGATTTCATAGGTTATTTAAAGTGTAATAAACCCACAATAGTAAAAATCAGTCTGTAGATGCAATAAAGCATGCTTGTTTTACTCACTGTGGAACCTAAGGGGTTAATCCTTTGCATTGTGAAAAAAAAAACTGTTTTGATCCTGACTTCTCTGATCCTTCCCTTCTTCCTGTTTCCCCCCCTATTATTTCCTGATAAGACATATTGTGTGGAGACATTCTACACATGCTCAGTTTGGTGTGTATTTCTAGAGAGTGTTTTTTTTTCTTGGGAGAGTGCATGTGATCAGCACAGGACCAATCAGCACTGTCCAGACAGAGGTCAGGGGTTCTGCATCCTCCTAGACAAAAATGAAAACTCCTGCTACGATCCTTAACCAGTGCTCAGCTGGACACTGATAGAAGTCACAAGACTGCTATATACTGCTGATGAGAAAAGGTATTTAGCAGTTTTATATTTACTAAAATAATTGCACTTCCATGTTCTGTGTGGGACCAGATGTAGTTAATGCGGGGTCCGGGGAGACCAGATATAGTGAATGCAGGGTCCGGGGAGACCAGATATAGTAAATGCAGGGTCTGGGGAGACCAAATATAGTTAATGCAGGGTCCAGGGAGACCAGATATAGTGAATGCAGGGTCC